TAGATTATCGACAATTAAATAGTGCTATCTAGACTAATATTATTTGTTGAGCCACTTTCAAAATTAAGCATATATAAATCTTTTCTTAGTCGAATTGATGATAATTATTTTAAATTACCTAAAGGCAATGAAACAGTTTAAGACCCAAATGGTCCGGCAATATTTCTTTTAATCCAAGAGTTAAAACAATATTAAGAAAAACTTTAAACACTTAAATATGATAAAGGTATTTCTGGAATATTGGATAAGCTTTATGAAGGATTCATAAAATTAAATTTAGATGAAATTCTAAGATCCTTTTAACAGATAAGGTTCGTATCAAATAAGTAATGATCCCTCTAACATTCTGAAATCCAGCCATATCCTTCCTAATAGAATTTAGTAAAAACATCTGAATCTACTCGAATTATAGGTGTAACACATTTATAAGTAATAGTATCTTAGGCAAAACAAGTTAAGCAAGCGTTTGGATCAGATTCATGACATGACTCACATAAAGGATTACAAAAAAATCCATATACTTAAAAGTTTCTTATTCTTATTTTATTTCCACTTGTAAAAGGTGTAAATTCAACAGATATTGAAAAATTCTTTTGTGGAACTTATAATTTTGTGGTAACTATTTTTGAAAATTCAAATGAATATTCTTCAACATCATTCCTACAATTTCTACTCTGTTGTAATAATTAATTCCCTTATTTTTAGACTTACTTTAATAGAGTTGGTATTTTGGATGATCCATAATTCTAAATAAAATTAACAGAAACAGTTGATGATGAAGAATCTGAGATAGGAAAATCATAATATATATCGAAAATGACTTAGACTTACTAGACAGAAATAGGAATGGATTTCAAAATTAAATCATTCGAGTTGTCAAGTACTATTTGTTATTCTCCGTTAGTATTACAAGTTGCTGTTTCAACACCGCTCATTATCCACCCATCTTAATTTAGCGTTAGAGTTTGATCTGTTAAGCTTTAATCTATTAGTTTCCACTGAGCTAGTGCACATGACATCATCAACAAAAACACTATAAACATAGAATTATAAATATTGAAATATCTGTCTATAAATATCTTATTATTAATTAAGGATTATTTATATGATGTCATTGTCTCTAAATCATCGTCTTATAAGAAATTTTATTTAGATATTTATTAATATATTCTTATATGAATAATTAGCAATATTTCTTTTTTCAACTAAATTAAAAAGGAATTTCTACATATAACATTAGAAATTAAGCGATGGAACTTTTCTTGTCGTTCTTAAGGCTTTGAATAAGCCAAATCTTAGAATATGTCTAACAATTTTAGTTTATTTAGTGGAAAAAAAAAAATTCTCATAAATAACTAAAACGTGCTTATATTTTTTAACTAATATAATACTAAAAATGCCTGAAAGCAATAAATAGAAATTATATGGATTAAAAATGAAGCAATCAATAGTCTTTGATTAGTAAAAAAGGTACTAAATCATTTTTGGATTCAGGTAATCCATAATTATTCAGGGCTTTTCCTTTCAAAAGTAAGGATAGAAGAATTCCTTATTCTCCTATTAATTTCTCAAGAACTAATTACAAAAATTATTTATCTCTAATGAGAACTCCATCCATCAATTTCTTTTAAGGTTAAAAAATCTCATATTTCGTTGTTATTTAAGAGTTTCAGTAATTTAGTTATGTATAATGGGTTTGAAGAATTAAGAGATCTCCTTACTCAACTATCATCTAAAAGACTCTTCAGATATGACTTACTTCTATTTTTAGGATAATCTTCGTCATTTCTTGAGACTTTTTATCCCTTTGATGATTAACCTCTAAGTAGTTTTTTATTATTATCTTTTTTCATTTATTTTATTAATTTTCAGTTCAACGAAAAAAAACTCTTCTTGCTTCAATATCATCAACCCTGAATAATGTTAAAGTACAAAAATAATAGAAGAAGTAGGTGGAATGCAAAATATAATAATAATAGGATTATATGGTTAATTAATAACATTTTTAATGATCCTTAATATTTATATAAAGTGCTTAATTTGATGAATGTTTTACTTCAGAATATTTAGTTGTAAAAATAAATATTTTTTTGCTTATGTAAATATACTGATTTATAATCAATTTATATTTATTTATAATTATTATTTGTTAATAAACTTAATATTTAACTTTCAATTTTATATCTACTCTTTTATTCAATATATAAAGAACTTTTAATCAAACCAAATCATTTTAACAAAAATGCGTTAATTAGCTATTTAGTTTTCTATCAATATATATAGATTCAATTAATAATTTTTTTAGGCCTTATCTGCTCTCTTCTGAATTAAATTTATTAATAATAATTATTATAAAACAGATCAGTTCCCAAACGAAAATTGAATATTTCACTGAAATTGATGCAAAAATATCTAGTTACTTTATAATCCAATCTAAAAATTATAATTAGCAATTTTTTTTGGAAAATAAACATCTTATTAGAAATATTTTTAATCAACTAAAAGTAATTTAATATTTTGTCTAAATGTTTGAGCATTCAAAATGATAACACTCCATAAAATTTTCAAAAAAATATTATATCAATAATTTTTTTCAAAATTATCTACTCAGAAGTGAAAAAAAAATCAATTTATAAAAAGATTTAATTATTACTAATTCATAATTATATGATTGAATATATAAATAAATGGACACTCTACTTGAAAATTTCACAATCATAATAAAGTACACGTTTTTGGTTCCAATATAATCGAATGAGTTTATAAATGAAAAATGTTAGTTGGATAAATATAGTTTATTTTACTTAACTATAGAGTTCTATTTTGCTTTTATTGGAAATGATGAATAAATTAATCAATTAATTATCTGTTTGATTCTATAAAGTGTGACTACCAATTTTTTAAATATGCTTTATAGTTTCTCCATTTCTAATCTCAAAATATCTATTGTATCAAGGTTGATTAGCCATCATTTTTGAAAAAATAGGGTTATTTTTGTGTTATACTGCTTATCATTATTTAATCTTAGAAATTGCTCTATGATAAATAGTTTATTCATTAATTCTGAAATTTATTATCTTTTGGTTGATTAACTTTGATACTTCAGAACTCAGATTAGACTTACATTAGAAATGCCATTTAAACACTTTTCAAGTTAATTCCTAGGTTTTATGAATTGAGAAATAAAAGGATTCTATAAAATGTTAATTTATATAATTATTTAATTGTGAAATAGATGGAATTGGTAAAGAAAGGATTTTCAGTTTTAGTATCGATTCACAGCAAATTAATCCACAAATATTATCAGCACTTGTACAGAAAGAGAAAATTAAGAATATTCTTTATGGGAATAGGTATTTATGAAAGTTGATAATTTACAAGGGTCATTGTATTTATTGAGAAGATTGTCATAACTGGCAATGGCATTAGCCCCTTCAATTAGAAGAAATATGACTGCCAGATATGGAGAAGAATCTTGGGCTGTAGTAACAGGAGGATCAGATGGGATTGGTAAAGAATTTTGCATTTAATTGGCGAAATAGAAATTCAATATTGCCATAATAGGTAGGAATGCCAAGAAAATGGATTAGGTTTGTTTAGAATTATAGGGTTTTGGAGTTCAGACTAAATTTGTTGTAGCTGATTTTAATGAGGGACATACAGTCGAATTTTATAATAAGATCTATGAATAGCTTGAGTATTTGGATATTTCAATTTTGGTAAATAATGTGGGGGCAGCAGAAGCAGGGTAATTCGAACAAACAAAGATGGAAGATTCATTGATGATGTTGAGAGTGAATGCATTATCCACTCTAATGATGACCAGAATTCTCATTAGCAAATTGTAAAATAGAGAGAAGAAATCAGCAGTGATTACAGTCTCCTCTGGATTAGCATATCTGCCTTGTCCATTTGTTAGCGTTTATAGTGGAACAAAGGCATTCACCAATTATTTCACTTAATCTTTAGCCTTAACATCAAAGAAAATAGACTTTTTGAGCGCAACTTCTTTGGGAGTGAGTACCAAAATGTTAGGAAATAGAAAAGGTCCTAATATTCTTGAGACTAATGAATTTGTGAAAAATGTGATAAATGACTTGAGACAAGGAAAGACACACAGTTTTGGATGTTAACGACACAAAAGGTTTATCAATCACCTATTGTGGAGAAACTAAAACTTTAGAAATTAAGCAAAAATTTAAATAGGGCATAATTTGATGAATTGTTGAATGAATGAGACGATATATTAAATAATAAATAACAAAATATAGTAGATAATTTAGTTTAATTTTATGATAAAATCATCTGGTAATAATCATAAATGGTATTAAGGACATATTTGAATATTGATAACTGAAATATAAAAATAGTTCTACCATTTATGTCCAATTGTATTAAATTTGACTTCAAATATGAAGTAAGCCCTCAAAAATTAAGAATGAATGAATTAAAAAAAGGAATTCTCTCCTTTCTCTCCTCTCAAATTAAAAAGTAATGCAATAAATGATAGAATTAAATGACTTAATTTTTGATAATCTTCAGATTAAAAGAGAAAAGAATAATGTCTCAAAAAAGAACTAGTAAATTAATAAATAAGGTCGTAATTTAACTATGAAAATGTTGATTTCTAATTTAATAATCAATTCTAGCTTATTATAAAATTATATCTATAGTATTATTTTTGTTATAGTTGGGGGAATGGAATAATTTTAGTAATAGTTTTTAAAGAGAAAAAGACTTTTTGATTCATCAGTGAGATTAAAAAGTATTTATCCAGATTAAGCGATTGAAAAGGATTAGCAATATAAACAAGGAGTGAGAAATAAGGCATGTGGTAGTTGGATAGTAATGAATAGAAAATGAAAGAGAATAAGAAATACGATATTCAAGATAGTTTAATAAATGTGAATTATTTATTAATTTAAAATAGTTATTACAGTATTAAAATGAAACAGACAAGAGTTCAATCTGCTGCAACAAATTCTCGTCTTCGAGATAATCATTATGATCCTAAAGTACACGCAAAGGCTTGGATTGCTCCAGGTAGATGTTCAAATTAAATTAGGAATCTTCAATCAATTACCTAAATATGAACATCTAGATTCTGGTCTAGTTGTTATCCATTAGAAGAATAACAAAATGAAATAGTTTAAGGAATTGTCGGAATTAAACGAGGAGATTCAGGAAATGCAAAAGAAAGATGAATTCAGAAAATTTAAAGAGTTTGAGAATCTTTATAATGGAGATTTAGTAGTGACAATTGAATATTGGTATAATTTGAATTAAAGTATATAGTACAAATTGTTCTCAGCATGCAGGATCAACTAGACATGACGAGGAGAAATATTATACATTCGCCACCAATTTAAAATAGGAGCTTATTTAGTAATATCCAACAGCAAAGGTTTACTTGAAGCCATTGATCTATGATCCCCATGATTACTCTATAGACACTCTCTACATTCAAAGGAGAATTGGCGCATTTGAAGTACAGGTCTGTTCAAAGAATAGAGATCAAGTCAAAAAAGGCTTAGTATTTTCAAAGTTGAATACTAAGATTTGGCCTAATTATACAGAAGTCATTGAAAGAGTTAGTGATTATTTAAATACTGCTCCATTAGAAATTTACGTCAATTTTGGTGAGAATATTAAAGGCAATCTTAACAACATTGAAGTTACTCTGACTCCATATAGATAAGACAGACCATAATCAAGTGTCTCTAGGATATCTTCACAAACTAAAAAAACAAATAGAACTGCCACAAAAGAAAGAAAAATAATTGCTAAAACTAATAATCAAGGATATATTAAACTAGAAGATGTTCCTGTGGATGTCTATGTTGTAGAAGTGCATGAATCTAATGATTATCTTAATGAACAATTATTATTGAATATGGTAGAAATGGCTGAATAAAGTAATGATACTATGCAAGTCGTTATTAAACTAAGGAAATAAACTCACTCTTATTTGGATATTAAGATATTTAGTTAGTAGGGTGCAACCTTAACTGAAGCTAAAATAACTATAACAAATCTTTAAACTCAAGAAAGTATGTTATCAAGAGAAATTGAACCTGGTAGATATGAAGCAATTTTAGAGCCTAATTAATATACCTTTACTATCTAAAAGAGAGGATACAAAGAGCTGAGTTAGACTATTGATGCAGTTTAAGGAGTCAACGAATTCAAGTTGATTATGGAAGTAGACCCAAATGATCAATAACCAATTAAACCACCTTAATCAGCAAAATAACTATAACCAATATAAAAACCTAGTAGTGCTCGACCAACTAGTGCTTCTAGATCATAGTAAGGTAACAATACAGCTTAATCTCAATAATAAATGAGTAAATAATAATAATCGTAGTAGTAATAATAGCAATAACAATAATAGTTACCACCAAAACCAAAATCTTAATAATAATCAATACAGTCCTATGAATAACCTGAATATATGGAACCAACTAAATAGGAAGCAATCTCAAATCCTAATAGACCTATTTCAGGTTATAAATCTACACAAGTATTTATTTACGATCCTTACACTAATTTACCGATCGAAGGAGTTTAAGTAATTTTGAATGAAGAATCTACAAAACAATCATAGACATATGTAACTGATCAGGAAGGAACTTGTAGGATTATTTTACAAGGAGTTTTGGAAGGGAAAATGGTGATTTAAACGTATTCTATTATTTTTAATTGTTTATTAGGGAAGGGTATTTCCCAATAGTTGAAGAATATGGAACTACTTAATCAAAAATGAATTTATATCAATTGAGAGAATTGTCATTTCCTTTGATTTAACATCTAGAGGACAAGAATTCAGTTATGATTTTAGTTCAAACCAATGTTGAAGTGATGCCAATTGACATCAAGATGATTCTACCTGATAATGTGTAGATTGATTAGAGTCATCAGAATGTACTCTACGATATGAATGATGAATCTGGATGTTAAAGGATTATTGTACATGATCTTAATACTAGAAGAGGAGTGTATAGAATCATTGCAGACATAATTGAACCTGATTATGTACATCCTCAGCATTTAAAAGTTTATATTATAACCAATAAAGACTTAAAATTAGTAGATGTCCCAAAAACAATTAATTAAGAACAAATCTATTGGGACTTAGGTGTAATTTGTGGTAATTTATTCAATTCATTTAATTAATAGCACCCAATTCTGGATTTCTAGAGATCAATACTCCCACTGATGAAATTTTGAAGAGAGATAAATATCTTAAAGACTATCAGAGTTTGTTGCAGTTCTTAAAGAATTCTAAGAACATGGATTTGAAAACTATCTTGGGATTTAATGATAAGGAGAGACTAGAATTATAAGGTGATGTCTTTGTTTAGAAGGAGAAAATTAAAAACACTTTAGATAAGTATGGTTTTGAAGCAATCACTAATCTTGATTATTTAATCTATTCCGCCATGATGTCGAATGGATTGTACAGTTTTAAAAGACTGGAATAGAAATTTGGAAATCTGGATTTTGAATTCATATTTGATGATGAGAATTCAACTAGTAAGTAAAAGGAAATGAGTGAAGATGAACCTTATGATGATGATTATGATATATGAAATTATTATTAAATTAAAATGACTCACATATCAATTTATATACTATATAGTATTACTGATAAAATACCAAAAATCCTATTACACATAATCATATACACCTAAGATGTAGTATAGTAAATTTAAATGAATCTGTAGATGAGGAATTAGCATTATTAACTAGAATTATTAAACACTGGTATATAGCAAGAGATGGTCCATTTTAATATAATGCTACATAGATTAAGTTAGAAATTAGCCAGCAAAAATTTGAAAGGCGTTAAAGAAGAAGTAGTGATAGATCAATTTATCATTAGGGTATTCCAAGAATTACGATTTATTATCTAATGTAGATGAAATTAAAATAACCGATAACTGAAGAAAATATTACTTATTGATTGATATTATATTATTTAGTATTGCATTGAATAAATCAGTTCAAATTCTTGATTATTACCTAATGATGACATTGAGTCGAGCATTTTCATCTATATAGTAATTTAATTAGTTCTTCAAATTCTCAATCAAATACATGTTCTTTTATTCATAGATTAAACCCTACTAGACATGAGAAAACTCATCAGAAATCTATTTCAATTCATTCTTTAATTAAGCTATTTCTTATTCCTAACTGATTTATTATTATTCCATCTATTTCTTTTATTCATACTCCTTTTGTATTATACTATGTAATCGATCATTTTCCATACAAAGCATTAAAAATTTCTACTATAATTATTGCAGAGGCATCAATTATTATTAAGATTGTAATTTAACTTTCAATGATTCGACCTCAAACTTCAATTAAGTCACTTATTATTATTATTAACTCAAACTCTGGCTAGTTGCGTGTATTTATTAAGTCTTATGTGTTACTTCATCCTATAATTCCTTATTAAACTTATCTATGATCTAATATTATTGATCTTTTTGCTATGTCATGAATTACACTTTTTAATTGATAGTATTCAAAGTATTTCTTATTTCTTGATTTTCCAAAGTCTTTTCCTCCAATATTGCCTTGAATTTAAAGATTTCTTAGTCTTTTATTTATAACTACTATCTGAGCAATTAAGTTTCATCCTAATTTTTATTCTAAGAGTGACATTATGTTTCCAATTAATGCTACAAATCTTTAATCACTTCTTGCTTTATTTTAATTTCTTTTAATTGTTATTCCGATAATTTTGATATCTATTCCAGCTCATTTATCAATCGTAATTGATCTTAATACATCTTATCATAGCTGTGCTTGAGATTCTCATAATCGATTGATTATTAATTAATCTGATCCTTCATTTTTTAATTGTGCTAAATCAAAACTTTTATTTCTTTCTCCTTCTCTGGATCATTTGTATTCTATCTAATCTGCTAGTACTCATTTCCTTTTGAAAATTAATGTTATGCGGGACTAAAATGCTATTAAGTAGAAGGGCTTATCCTTAAAGGAGAAAATATGTTTTCTTTTCTATGCATTAATGGCATCATCTATTGAGATGACTAAAAGACTAGTCTTTTCTCAATTGGCGCTGTGTATTGCATTTTCAGTTAAATTTTTAATGTTAAAATATAAATATGTTAAATTACTTAATACATAGATAATAGCCATTTTGAAGGAAAAAAATGAAATGTATAACCTCTTTTAGATTAATTAATAAAGATGGACTGTGAATCCATCATACATATCCAATGATAAAATGAAAAGAAATTAAAAGATAAGAATCTTGAAAAGAAAACTTCTTGATATCATAAGACATCTCACTAATATCAGATAAGTTCTATAGTCATATTTTGAATCAACCAAGTATTTTCAAATATATTATAATTAAACACTTTTGATAATTATAATGAGAAAACAAAATTAGTAAAAATTAACTAACATTATATATTTTCTAACGCTAAGTTAGATGATTTAAATTTTTTATTATTTGCTTTATGTAATAAAAGAATTGTTAGCCTTTTTTAAGTATTTATTATAAATATGTTTATACCTAAATTCTTCAACTTTTCAACCTTCACAATACTATTTAGCTTTATAGATGCAAATAGTTTATAACCCCAAATATCCATTTCTCTGTTAAAATGAATTTACATAAACATTATTTATAATGAATTTTCTCTGAAAAATTACAAAAAATATGATAATTCAACATCCAATATATTAATAATTTATTTAATATTTGAATTCTATAAATATAGAGAATATATTTCCTTTTTGTCTATCAACCCTAATTTCAATTTGTTTATCATATTTTTCTATTTTAGGAAAATAAAGAAATAATTCTCGTCGATATAATTATATTTCTTGATCTCCTTTTAGAATGAATAAATTCTTAAAATTATAAAATCACAACATTGAATGATTTAATTAACAACCAATAAAATAAATGAAACATTAATTAAGAAATATTTCATAATGTCCAAATAATTGATATCAGTCATACCCCCATTATAAAATATAAATAATTTAAGGAGGTTCAGTAATTAATTTCTTATAATTAATATCTTTAGAGACAATAAATAATGGAATAACTCTTAAATTCTTTGTTAACTCAATCATCTAAGAAGCAGAAGAAAGTTGTTTTTATCAATAAAAATCGCATGAATAGAGAGTATTCACTTTTCTAAATACATTTAAATTAGTTACAAAAATGTCAAGTATTCAATATATAATATTGTAATTAGTAACCTGTAGAAAGGTTAGGAGAATAGTCGGCACTCAAATAATCTTGTATTAAAAGATAAAATAAAAGTCCATTAATTAGAAAATAATATACTAATAAAGATCTTTAGAATAAGTAGATGCTTTCCATGCCTTAATAACTACATTAAAGATTTATCCAACAAAAAGAAAAAGAATTAGTCTAATTTCTTACGATATGTTTAACAATTCTGTCACTTATTGTGATGTTTGTTGAGTACCATTAACAAGAAAATTATAGAAGATTTTATGATAATTGAATTTTTATAATATCAATAACTCTATTAATATACTTTTTTTACGCTTTTTCATATTGTAAGACCTGACATGTTCTTTTTTCATTCTAAATTTGTTTTACCCCTTCTATATGAATAACACGATTATTATTTATGTTTAAATATTAATGGTTTTTGTAGAAACATAGGTATTTTCAATTTAAATTGAATTGTTAAGAGATTTTATGGAACAGCATTCCAATTAGTAAGACAACATCAACAATCAAAAGAGTCAAAATTTTTGAAAAATTCTTAAAACATGAAATATTTTATATAAATTTAAGCACTCGTACTTTAAATAACTATTATTTTTTTTTTATATATATATATACTTATCATTATTTCAATATATTGTTAAGAAATATAACATTTTATAAATATTTATGAATATTCCATAATAATCAGAATGATAAATAATGAAACCATTAAAGATTTAGTGACTCGTATTTTGCTTCTCAATTTCTTAATAACTAAAATAACTGAAAAGTAGTCCAATTTTTTGAAAATTTAGACGCTTTTTCAAATTAAAATTAATGATATACTCTTAAACAAATCTATCAAATATTTGTTCAAAAGATATCTTCAAAATGCCTCCACACCAATATATCAAATAAACAAATTTTAAATCTAGTACTATTTAAACTTTTCTCAAAATATTGGATAACTAAAATTCTCTTTATAAAAATCAGTGATTTCGAATTTAATAAATTTAAGAATATTTAAATAATTGATATTTCAAATATTCTTTTTAAAAAAAGAAAAAAAATGTTTTCTAATTAATATTTACCTTCCTCCAGTTATAATTATTATAATTTTTTGTTAAAATTTCCTCTGTCATTTACATATATTAATCACCATTTTGATGCATCATATCACTCTATTTTTATAGATGAGTCTAAAAAATTCCTTTTAAATAAGCATTATCTAAAATATTTATTTATATTATTGTTCTAACATAATCTAAGATATTTTTAATGAATTTTATTATGAAAGAGTAACTTTTGGATTAATTTACAATTAAGCAATCTCTGTTAACAATCTTCTACTAATATTATTAGAACTTGAGTTTAGAGAGATTACTGAAGTAATGATTTTAAGAAAAAATTACTTTTGATTTTTATCAACTTCATAAATTAGAAACTCGAATAAAATTTTGTTATATAATTTCTGAATCCCATATTTGAAAACCTGGTCAAAAGAGTAAGAATTTTGAGATAAAATCATTTTTAATTTTTTATCTAATACTCGTCATTCAGCGAAAGATAAAAAAACATTAAATCTTAAACCTTAACCAATTAATATACACAAGTTAGATTTAATATTTTTATTGTTGTTATTGAAGATATCTTATTCTCTTATTAACCAAAATCAATTATAAAAATTTAATTATATGAATTTTATTAATTTAATAAAATATTTTAATTCCTTGTAGGAAACAGCAGGATTTATTATATATAAAATTAAGTGTTACATAATTTTAATTAATTTAATGGGAAACCCTTTTTCAAAATTTTTCAGTCGACAAAAATCATAAATATTAATTAATGGATTGGATGCTGCAGGGAAGTCTACAATTTTAAACTAATTGAAATTAGGGACTGTAGAAACCTTATAAATAGGCATAGGATATCAGTAAAAAAAGCTAGAGACAAAATTCTTTAATATTTTCTCTTGGACTATTTAAGGACCCAATGGAATAAGATTGATTTGGAAACATCTTTATGAGACTAGCTAAGCTTTAATTTTAGTTGTAGATTTGACTGACAAAGAAAGAATGGAGGAAATTCAAAAATGGTTGGAATATTGCTTGATTGATAATAAAAGAAATAATTTGCCACTCTTAATATATGCAAATAAGATTGATCTTGCTTAATTTAACTATGATGATTTAGTCTCTGAACTTAAGTTTGAAAAATTTTCTAATAATTGGCATATATAACCATGTTGTGCAATTACAAGAGAAGGACTTGAGGACGGAATCACGTGGATTTTATAATAGATTAAATGAAATATTAATATTTATCTAATGAATAAATACTTAAATAAAATGTCTGAAATTATTTTTAATACTTGGTATATTTAAAAATTTATTTTGCCATTTCCTTGTAAATGAGATTGTTTACAGAGCAATGATGATAGTTAATATGTTCTAATTATATCCTATTTTTATCAAGAAAATATTTAATTTAATCTATCCTACTCCGGACAGATTAAGAAAGAAAATTAACAATAATAAAATTACTTTAGCTTTAATTGGTTTTTCTCTATTTCATCTTTTGTGTCATATTCAATTTAATAACTTATTTAGGATTAGATCTCACAGTTTATTGAGAAGTTTCTAAATAAATGAGTCTTTGTAATGTTTTATATAGAAGGAATAATCTATTGTTAGAAAATTTAATTAAGCAAATGTGGATGCTATTTATTTAGATTGTTCTATCCTTTGTTAAATTCATATTTTAAAAAATCAATTTTAAATGGATCCTAAATTTCATTAATAACAGACTGTTTATGAGAGTTTACAATAATGCAAACTTGAATTATTTTAATTTAGATACCTAATTTAAATCTGAAATCTTTTAGAAAATCATAAAATGGTTAAGTTTTATTTTTCTCCTGCAATCTTAAAAATCCCAAATGGGTAGAATATATTAGTTCCTATAAATGATAAATAACTTGTAATTTAAATAAGTTTGTTGATAATATTGGATAAGTTCCGTTAATGAATCACAAAGTAATCGATATTGATGAATTATTTCTTACGATACTTTTTGAGCTGATTCCTTATATGAATTTAGTTGAATTTGTTTTGAGATATCTT